TGTGATCGACTGTAGGTGGAGCCCTAGGGGTATTAGTCTGTGGGTGTAACCCTAGGGGTGTTAGTGGTTAGGTTTAGTGGTTGACTTAAGCCTGGGACTCCCATCTCGAATCTGAGCAAGAAAGAAGTCTTTTTTGTGTGGGGTCGGACGCAGCAGGCGGCCTATGATCGGATTCGGGAGGAGGTGGCCAAGAGAGAGGTGTTGGTCGAGCCAGGATGCGAGACAAGCTGGTGATGTATTGCGATGCCTGTGCCTCGGTAGGAGTAAGTGGGGGGTTGTTTGCTCGGCGGAAGAGTAAGCTATGTCCCGTGGGGTTCTGGTCTTCGAAGTTTAGTCCAGCGCAATCGGGCTATCACATTACGGACAAGGAGGCTCTAGCCATCGTGTATTGTTCCCACGAGTCCTGGAGGATTATCAAGCGTTCGCGCCACCCGTTGACGGTGTTTACGGATCATGAGCCGTTGGTGCGTATGCAAACGAAAACACCACTATGTATGAGTCTACGGTGAAAGGTAAACGTATGGCTAAGTACGCGCAGGTGCTGTTCAATTTCGCCATTATCCTGAAGCATGTGCCGGGAAAATTGAATCCAGTGGCGGATGTGCAGTCTCGGCTGGGATACCACATTGACCCAATCATGCAGGCGAGGTATCTACCGGCGGAGGTTAAGGTGTGTGTTGGGCTGAGCCGGTGGTGGTGAAGCCAGAGACAGAATCCTATGCGGTGAACAGTGCGCTCTTCGACAAGATCGGGGAGAAGTTCGGGCCGTTTGGCGCTACGTGAGACGTTCGCGCATTTAACGAATTATTGGATGAAACCGTACTACCAGCCTACCTTGCCTGGGGGTGTATTTGCGTTGAGGACGTGGATGGGACCCCGTTGGTACTTTAACCCAAGATGGTCAGACTTGGGCAAGGTGGTCATCAGGATTCGCAGGGACAAGGCTACGGTGACGATGGTTTGTCCGTATGCGCCGGAGGCACGGTGTTTTAAGGAAATGGTACCACTGCTGTCGGCAGACCCTACGGCAGTGCTGCGTGAGGAAGACGTAGTTTCCTGTATGACACAGAGTGGTGTCATAGGGACGGTTATGCATCCGAATGGGAGCTGGTATTGAAACTACCCCTGTTAGTGCAGTGAGTGCGCTGACATTTTGCGAGTGGCGGGGCATTGAGCCACACTGGGTGATGGTGGATAACCATCAGAG